GCACTGTGAGAGTTGTAATAACTGTGGTAGGGCAAGATGTAGTGACACTGAAAATCTACCAGTCTTGAACAGAAAGCCACAACATACACTGTAGGCTAGGTATAATTTACTATCACCCATCCAATGAAACGCGAACACATTATTTCAATAACACATATTTGCAAAGTTTGAAGGGTCCCGATTCTGCACACGGCCTGCACCAATGCGTGCTTTGCAGAAAGCTCTAATCAAAATTTTGAAATGTGCTTCCAAGTTTTTGTCCTCTGATGTTGCCTTCACACCCTCCCCCATATCTAAAAACCCCAAAAAATCAACAATCTCCTCCCCTATTCTGTAGTCCTATACTTCGCAAGGCCGTTACTCCCACCAAAGACAGTCTTTGCTCACACGATGCCGCATTTATTTATGACACGAATGCGCGCAGTTTCAGTGACCGGTCACGATGGCGAGCCAGACAATCTAAAAATCGGACTACGCTTGTATTTTCTTTTCTTTTTTTCCCACAAGTGACAGCACAGAGGCGAGTCCGAGCATTGATTAAATTTATTTGCACAGCGACCTTGCATTTATACTGCACAACCTGCATGTCACAAAAGTTGCGTTATTAGACAACTGCTGGCAAACTACTCAATGGTAACGAAAGCAGATCTTGACTTTCCCGATCGAGCCTCGGTGTCACATACGCTTCCGCCTGCCGCCATAGCTGCCTATTCGCGTGAAAGTGAAACGTACTCTCCGAACCGGGAGAAGCTGAACGAATATAATATCATGATCGCGACCGGCAAAAATAAACTTGCTTACCACATCGGACTTGGTTTTCAAATATTCCAGTTCTGCCATACTGATACTATTTTGACAAAAGATGGGACTTGAGATAGGTTTACTCAATCTCGTATTTTTCGCATTCCAGGATGCGTATTTTTTCATGAAAACTCGTATTCGCGTATTTTCGGCAAAAAATCGTACTAAAATACGTAAAATCGTACTGGTTGGCATCTCTGTATGCGCTGTATAAATGCAATCCATTATTATTATTATTATTATTATAAGAAAATAAAAGACCAAACAAAAAATATATAAATTGTTCCAATTGGACATGACCATGTTCAGTCAAATAGAAAAAACAAAACAAAAAAGAATTTAAGGCGATGCAGCAGAGGGTTGGTTTTATCTGCTGGTCCACATTCTGATCCAGAGAAACATAGGACTGTGGGCCAATATATAAAAGAGTAAAGAATAAAAAATATCAAACAAATTATAGTCTGTCAAAACAAATTTTTACACCAAAACCTGACCAACCTCATAAAAAAAAAAACTTACCTGTAGACTATAACATGGGTGACCGGAGTGCGTCTGACCGGGTTGGTACGGTTGAAGGCATAACCTACATGGGAATGAATGTCTTGAGGATTGCCGACATATGAACCATCATAGCGATTGTTGATTGACACATCTATGCGGGCACCTTTAGGGTGGGGCTGTCAAAACAAGAGGGATAAAATATTAAAATTACATCTCATCTGTTATAAGCCAAATTTGTAATAACCTAAAAGGAAAAAAATTTTTTTGGGAAAATGTGTGGCTTTGAACAAAAACTTTTCACACTAAAATTACGTGCAACCACTGCTTTAATCAAATCAGGGAGCTATAGAATGAAGTCACCTTTTTCTGAACTCCCAAAGGTCTTTACAATGCAATAAACTTTTCAACCCCTTTACCAAATCATTTTCCTTTCAAAGAAAAATTTGATGCTATAATAAATACGAAATTCTGAAAGTTCCTCTGTAAGCATAAAACACCTCACATTATGACCTTATGCAGTTGCAAGCGCCGTAAAACCTCTACTAAAACAAAACACCTCACTTTGAGCTTCCCTCATGAGGACAAATTCCACAACACATCAGTAGGGTAAACTTCCCGAACTCACTATGTACAAAAAGTTGAAGCGAGAGTGGCAGAGCCGCAAGTGTTTGAGCAGGCTGTACAGCTGTTGGCAGGAGAGACAGCACCAGGGACAGCGTAGATCCTCGCGGGCCTCCGTCTCCTGCTGTGTGGAGTTGTTGTGTGTAAACTGGTAGAAGACGCGCAGGCGTTTGCGCGGGGTCTCCAGGCCGTTGTCCCGAGGCTTAGGGCACGTGTACTCAGATCTAAGCCCTTCAGAGAGAAGTGTTTCGGCTATGTTTTAAAATGGAAGACAGAAGACCACAAGATATTGTCAGAGGAAAGGCTGTGTGGTAGTGGCTTTGTACTGCAAAGTCAAAGAAAAGGAAGAAAACAGAAAATACACCAAGAGAAAAGGCAAACAAACACTTAAAGGCCATAACTTTATGACAGCTGAGTAGAACAGGTCTTTCTTAAAATGGGTCAGACTTCAACAGAACACCAATAATTTATCAGACCACAAAAATGACCCAGTACAAAGTTCTGAAAGTCTTTAAAAATGCAATTTTGGCAGTATAAATCGTCGCCCATCTCACAAAAGGGCGTATCGTCAAAATTACCGGTTTTGAGTGAACACCACCATGGTATGTCCGGTAGTGAGATCTATCTTCTCTCAAAACGGCTTTAAAAATGGCGGAGTTATGAGCAAAAAACATTTAGCCCTATAGCTCTCGGGCAGGAAACTGCATCTCACATAGAGGCGTATGCCTTCTTACGCCCCTTTGTGAGAATATATACGGAGGCATGTGACCGCATACGCCATGGTATGAGATGTTTCCTTTTGTTTTCTTACTTGTAAATGAGAGGGATGCATCTTTTATACGCTTCCTTACCATTAGTTTAAGTTGACAGTGTTGTTTTTGGTACCTGTGCTTTAAATTTCATCCTTGCTTCCAGCGTTTGATGTTCATGTACCCATAAAAAGATAGTATCTTAGCTCATTTGTAAGCTTATAAACATCAACTTTTAAAAATATTTTCTACAAGTAAAAGTTTTAATTAGGTCCATGAGTCCCCAAAGATGTGGTATTGCAGAAAGTTCTGATTATATTGACGATTTAGATGCAGACCCATCTTTCCAACCTGGTTTCTGTGTCATGCAAGAAGGACATATTTGCAGCTTGTTGAAGGTGTGTATTGCTACTGTGTTATACATACTGTCACTTTGTGGAAGAAACAGGCTCATGGTAGTCTTTAAAAAAAAGCCACGTAGCATCATGAGTAGAAAACGGATAAAGCCGGAAGAGATTAACTCGGTCATCGTTGGATATTGTAATCAACCTGAAAATTTCATGACAGAAGGTGCCGTCAAAGAAGTGACTGCTCAGAAAGGTCCACAGTCCAATAAGTATAAAGAAGCTAACCACAAAGGACATTTTGGAAATGAGTTCCTTAGCCCTATAACGGCAACACATTTTGACGCGCACAGGATTTGAGACAGGTATGAATTTGAAAGCTATAAGAAATATGGTCGAAGCTGTCACGCTATTGCGAATGAAACACACGAGGAAATGTTCCAGCAATATTACAGACTTGAAGACCATTATCTATAACGTGAGTTTGTTGTTGGTCACATTGACTGCTTTGAATCTATGAAAGGGACGAGCTGTTCTCACAGACAGAAGACCAATATGTATATTACTTGACTGTCGATGGAATTCCGCCATCTGTAAGACAATATCAGCTGAAACTATTGAAGTAAAATAAAGAGGATGATGATACCCAGCAACTGTCAAAGAAAGAGATGAAAAACTTCCCACCCTTATTAATGCTCATATTGCGAGCTTCCCCGCTGTTGACTCACATCACTGCTGTAGGTCAGTTTCGAGTTAAAAGGACTAGCTCTCAAACCTGAACTGAAGAGGAGACAAAACAAAGGCTGAACAATCGCATCCACGGAAAAGCCAAAGTGAGAAGATGCTTTCAGCTGCAATATAATCATAAATTGAAGTGATATTATGGAACAGGCTCAACAGAGACTATTCAATAACTATTTATTTCCTACACACCCACAGTAACAAACAGTGATTTTTAAGCCCCAGAAAAATCAAGTCAAAGACGTTCCATTGTTCCATTGAACGGCCTAAAAAACTCCCTATAGCCAAGTACACCTTTTCATCAGACTGGAGGAACACACAATGTTCTTCTAAATCTGCCACATTTATCTTTCTTCTTAACAAACACTTGCACAATATTTCAGTGATAAACAAAGATTTATGGGCTAAAACGTTTATAAGGTATTACACAAATTCATTTCACATGCTCAGAATTTATCTTTCTACTAATATTGTTGTTGTCTAAGGATGGTGCGCAGTCCTGAATGAAAGGATCTGTGCAGTACTAGTTTACTAGTAATTTTATTCTCATTGTATCTCTTTCATTTTCTTTTTCTTGTCGTTTTTCACTCCCCAAAATTGATCAATTTGGCATATTGAGTTGATAAACCTGTTCAATAATCAAGAAAAAAATCCCGTTTCTCTTATATTCTATTACCAAACGATGTGGCGTATTGTCAATTTTGTGTCTTTACGGACATAATTTAGACCTGCATGTGAGCCTCAACCAGATTGTCTGAAAATTTTGGGAAGGACATCCGAGTAACGAACGGCCACCCCAAAAAACACAATAAAGAAGAGACCTAACCCTAACCCTACCCCCAAAAAGAACCTGCGACGGGCCTCATGTAAAAAGGCCAAAACAAGTCCTAAATGAAAAAAAAAAATTTAATTAAAAAACCACACTCCAAAACAAACAAGGAGCATATAGATCTAGATTCTAGATCTATATGGCTTACATCTACATTGCTATAGGGTTTGATACAATAACACAATAGAATTGGAAAATGAATCCTCTATATATCTAGATCTAGATCTAGTAATCTAAATAAATCTAGATCTAGATCTAGAATCTAGATCTAGATCTTGTAGAACAAGTGAATAGGAATAGGCCTTGAACTCGAAATCCGCATCCAATTCCGAACAGAGGGACTCAGCTGAGTCTAGATTCTAGATCTAGATCTAAATCTAGATCTAGATCTAGATCTAGAGATCTAAATAAATAAATAATTCATGCACCTGATGAATTGTTTATTTTTACCAATATTAATATTACAGCACAACCTATGATAGGGTTTGACACAATAGAATTGGAATATGAATCCTCCATCGAGGTCTATAATGATCTATATAAATCTAGATAGATCTAGATTCTATTAGAACAAGAGAGTCGGACTTGATGAATGAATCCACACGATCTGAACAATTGAATTAGTCAACAAACGAAATTCAAAATGGCCGCTCGAGCACGAAACTGAAAGTAGATAATTTAGGTTGTCGTCCTTTTTCGTATTCGCATTTCTACTTAGGTTCCGACAATTATGTCGGAAACGCCGCCGTCGGCAGTCGGCGGTGCGCGCGTCGGCGGTCGGCACGAAAACGAAAGTGCCGACGAAGCCGACGGGAGAAAAAAGGGGTCGCTGGCAGTCGGCCAGGCCTCGCACTACGCACATTGACTGATACAGGCGGGCCTAGCGATAGCATCGGCCGGTTCGCGGATCGGGTCGCGATTGTCGGATTTCAGACGATTGTCGGCAAACATGCAGGTCTAATAATTATGTTCTCACAAACAGGCGTATCAGATATTTTAGACAATTTCTTAAAAAACTGATGACGCAATATCTATAACCGTTATAGGGAATGATAAATCGGTGGTTGTACTAATATCTTGCCAAAAATGTAAACGAAAAAGCGAACGGTTACGCCACAGCAAGAACTTAAAAAGTGTCCACAACTTTAAAACGCTCTCCTGAAAAATGTCAAAAATGCTCTTACGCCCTTTTGTGAGATGGACGACGAAATAGAAAACTACAAACTTTGAAATTATTACCATTTTTTAAAGACAAGGAGGGAAATGTGATTTAAAAAATTCCAGTAAATTTTCAAGGTCAGTTCACTAGAAACTATTGAGTACACTTTGATTTGGGATAGAAATTATCTGTGCATGACAGGTCATACTTACAAGTTGACCTACTTATGGTCCAATTAAAATCTTTGAAAATACCATTTTCTTTCACATCGTTACAATTATATGCAAAGAAGGGGAAAAATACGACAGAGTCATGGGTTTTCTGGGCAAATACTAAGAGATCACTGATACACAGCTGTGTGCAATGACCGTCTGGATATGAGTATTTGTTTTTCAGCTCTAGAAAATATAAGAATATCTGGAGGCTCGGGGAAGCAGATTTTTCTGGAACAGACTTCATAGACTTGCAAACTTTGTTGTGTATATGTGTCAGCACACTGTGGAATCAGGTGCTCGTTAATTTTGGGGCATATAGAGCAATTGGTATAATTTTAAAGCCGGTTGTTTTTGCCTTGCATTTGAGGAATAAAAATTACCCATCAATCTTGAATAGCAATAAAAAATATTTGCAATTGAAGGAGGTGGGGGTCGCCTGGAACCAGGGGTTAAATTTGTCATAAAATGGAAATCAAAGTTTGGTTACTTTTTAAGTTGTAATGTCCTTGGAAATGGCAAATTTACAGTTTTTGTGCCTATCATCAATTTTTTTCAGTACAATTCACATGAGAATGTGTTTTGAAATGGACATAAAAGGTGTTGAGCCGAAAAATGTCGGTTTCTTCAATTTCATTATTTAGACAAGCACATAGTTTCATCACAACGCGACATAAATAAATGTCTATCGGCCAGATGCACCTAAAACACCATCCACACTTGACAATGTATGAAAATATGCATCGTCAAAACATATTCAAGATCTAGAAGGTATAAATAAAATGTTTTGGTACCAAATTAACACATAAGAACCTTTTCCCCATTTTTTAAGAGTTTCTATAACATGATTTATATAGCTCTATCAAAAAACAACACCTAGCCAAAGCATTCCAAATGACAAAAAACAAACAAAAAAAAAACACTTTACAAAAATACAAGACTTCCAAAGACACAAAATCCTCTATTGTAAACCTTATTGATAAGAAGGGGGGGGGGGGGAATCAAAATTCCTGAAAATTTGAATTAAGTGATCCATTAAAACCTCCCCAGAATGATTTTTCAGCCCCAACCTTACAGACTATAAAGGAAGATATTGTTTCAAGAAGTTCATCTCACATTTCTCAAATGCAGTAGAGAAGTCGGAGGTTCCCTCAATCAGATCACAGCTAGGCGGGGGTACTCGGGAGGGGGAGCTCCAGTCGGTGTCCAACTTTTTGTTTGAATTATCACCATCAGCCCAGGCCAGGGAGAATTTAAGAGTTGGGTAGTCACTAAACAGCTCCAGAGGGCGAACATTCTGGGGATGAGAAATTTGGTTTCAGAGCATCCTGGGGGGGGGATCAAACCCACAAGCATGTTACAATTGTGAGTTTCTTAAAGGCAAATCATAATAATTCATAATACTGGCAGCAATTTTTTCATACATAGTGTACTTGTTTCACAGAGTTATCTTCTTTTTGGTGACTTCATCATCATTACAGTATTTGTTTCACAGCAAACAATGGTAACAGTATTTAAATGGATGAACAACCACTATGAAAACCTGTCAGTAACAGATTTTTTTAAAAGTAAATAGGAGACAATTTGGTTGCTTGTCTTTTTTAAAGATATTTTTTTGTCAAAACTTTAATTAATGTCATCCCCAGTACCTTGAATCTTGTCCTGTACCAAACCACAGACATCCGTCAAGATTTACCTTTCCATTAAAAGACTCCCACACTTTGTTGAGCTTCATCTTCTCCATGCCATCAGCAGTCTGCACACCCAGCTCATACTCCCCGGGGACTAGAAGGCTGCGACGACTCTTGTCAAACACAACAAGCTCGCGGCAGAAAGTCAACACCTCTTCTTCAAGTGAGGAGATTCTGCCGTTTCTGCGCCGTTTGATTGGTGGTTCAGCTGGATTGCAAGAGAAGCATATAAAGTCAACTGCACTAACCATAAGTAATTCATAGTAGAATTTGGCACACCTTAAAGGTGAAGTATTGAGAACAATTATAGAATTCCACTGATTGGTGTAAACAGATTCATAACATTCCCATCGCAAAAAAACTGACCATTATTCACATGGTTAGTAAGAGTCAATGGACTCATTTTTCTTGCATCAGCAACATAGGCAACGTAACTGCCAAATTCTTTGGAAAACACAATGCAAGGATGTAGAAACAGTACAAGTACAAAATTTAGGAATTGCCCGTCTTTACAAAATATAGAAATCTTCATCTGGGACCTCTAAGTGTTTTGGGAGTGAAGATCCTACAGAAAAGTCAAGTACTGTCAGCAAGTGACAATTTCAAACTGCACAGCCACAACTGCCATCACTTTGCTAGACAAATTTTTATGTATAACAACCAGTAGAGGTGAGCTTATTTTTCTAAAGGTCGGAGGTGTACATTCAGAGCTTCCAGTGGCTGATGTCATTTTTCAAGAATTTTCGGGTCCAGGGCAGAGGGGGTTGAAGGGGGACAGCGTCCCTTTTCTGTTTGAGAACTTTTGGTTTCAGAGCATCCTAAGTATGACATTTCTGGCTTTTCAGGCCTAAATTTAACTAGAAAATAATTGAGAAAAAAAAACACCTTGTATAGGCCTACATAATTTTCTGCTTGTGTTAATCCATATATTTCCAAATCCAAAGCCATGCTTTCTCCCTTGTACAGATACTGTACATCCACAACTAGATCTATAAAACTTGACAGTTAATGTTTAACTTTTTTCTGCTTGTGTTGGTTTGCACCATAATCAGCATAAGGTGTAGAATTCTTACAATAATAGCTTTTTATATAACAGCTTGACTTGATCTCTAGATTCTAGTCTAGATTCTAGATTAGATCTAAATAACTTGACAGCTTATATTCAACTTAAATCCACAACAATACTTACAAATAAACAAGTATGGTAAAAAAAAAAAAAAAAAAACAAGCTCTCTTTAGAGTTTTCTTTTCTTGGCAGGCCCAAGATCTATTGAACCACAATCGTCATTTCTTCCTCTTGTTTACAGAGCTGGTGCTGTGCTTCTTGTGCTTTAGAAAGTGAAAGTAGAAGACACTGTCTACACTTTCAAATAAAAGAGCACTTTCAGTATGGGTTGGCTATTGTTGACTATTGGAAATAACGGAAAATTTTTATTTCGCATTTTTGAAAATAATTTTGGGGGGGGGGGGGGGCATGAATTTTCACAGAAAATTTTCCACGCAAAATTCGTCCCTCAAAACACGTACTAGCGTAAGCCACATTTTGTTAGTTTTGCAGGAGAGACGTTTAAAGATTTGGGCGATTTTCACCATCCCATTATGGCGTCAAATAGCCGACCCTGCCCTTAATATTTTGACATAACGTGTGTCGGCCAACTACTTTTCAATTGGCTAGAAGCATCTTTGTGAGATTAGTAGGTTTTGAAGGAAAAATGACCCTTTTGTCCGATACGCTAGTACGTGCTACGTCAATGAAAGCCTCAATGTGTGGCTTACGTTACTAGATTGTTGGATACGTTAGTACGTGCTTTTGTATTCTAAAGCATAATGCGTTCATTGCGTGGCTTACGCCTAAATGGTAACTTCCAAATAACAATAAAAATACAAAGAAAGATCGATTTGGTTTAAAATTCACGGGTTGCATTATCCGTAACAAATGACAATGTTAACAACAGCTCAAAATATACAGACGCCAACTGTACATGATAAAAAAAACAACTTAAAATTAAATAATCACTGCAACTATCTACTGCTTAAACAAACGTTTCATTATGGACTATTCTTTTGTGAAACACTATCCTGTTTAATATGGGAAGCAGTACTTTACTAAAAACAAAACAAACTACAAAAAACTTGAGCTAGTATGTGCTCACTAAATTTTCAAATTTTCAAAAACAAATAATAAAGAATTCAGGGAACATTTCTGCTAGAGTTAGAGCTCCACGTAGGCTTATTGGGAACATGATCTTGCTGTAGAGATGTAAATTCAATGACATATTTATAAGACTAATAAGCAGTAACTCAGAAATAGAGCAGAAAATGTGAAATTAAATACATTTTGTGTCATAACTTGACTGCTATATACTTAAGCTGGAGTTACACCTTAGCGAACAAAGTAAAATAGCTTCGCCCCGAAGGAGATCTTCACAGCCAACTATAACTCATGGGGTAAGGAAAGATAAAAAGCTTTGTGCTCTTCCAGTTTAATTACTGGTGTGGGACCAGAACAGAGTGAAACCAAATCAGTGAATTTTTCTCTCGAAATGTTTGTTGGTCCTGAGTTCAGTTTCTGAAGTGCACAGTCCTTTACACTATTCTTCAGTCTCTTGAGGGACAGGGTTTTGAATGAACTGTCAAAGTGGCTCGTCTTGTAGAAGACTTTATCTGGCTGTTCTTTAGTGACTCGCAGTTCCATGATATTGTTCCACGAAAATGTGTCTTCCGTATCAGATCCTCTTCGTGCGTCCAGGATTCTCAAGTCCTTTGATAAGCCTTTGAGATCCCGAAAGTCTTTAGACTGCATCTGATTCACCAGGTGAGGCTTTTGAGGTCGAGCGAGAGACTTCACTGTTGCTACCTGAGAAGGAAGGAACAAATCCCCAGCCCTCTTCAGGGCATGTCCTATTGCACTGTGTACAGAATTACCCTCATTCTGACCATGGTTTGTTTCAAAGAATCTCAATGAAATCTCTTCAAGATTCACACTATTGTTCATAGTATACAACATCATCGAAGGCGTAATCGAATTTTTGTTCTGACCACTGCATCCATCGGCAAAAAGAAAAGCTTTTTTGATGCCACGGTCGTCATAAAATTCCAGGGCAAGGTGGACTGTAGTTGAAATTTCCTAGGGTTCACGTTTGCTTTGCGTTTCATCGTAAGGGAAGCAGTGACAATTTCTTTTAGCAATATTATAGAAAGTCGGGTTGTAGTTCGACTATCTCCTTTTGTAAAAGATGGCGCTCTCCTGAGTCATAGGGAGGTAAATGACCTGCTGCAAATCAAAACTTGCACAGAGAATGTTCTCACTTTCCTGAGCTTCTTTCTTGCATAGATCCTTTATTTCCCTGACCTTTTCTTTTTCTCCCACACTTTCCCCTAAGACGTATCTTTGTTTCTTCATTTCCTTGGTGATAATTGACACAAAGAGAGCACTGGTCTTTCTTGGACCGGTGGATTGACAGATTTGTACTTTTGAATACATCGTTTTATGTAGTGAAAGCTTGATGGCCTTGTCCTTGGTATCCATTCCTGGATGAACATGTGGTACATGCTTGTCAACTCTTGTCCCAAATTCCTCTTCATTTTGGCTTCCTTCTGTTTGTTTGATCTGAGTTTCTTTTCCTTTCTGACTTCTTTCTCACCCCCCCCCCCCCCCCCCCACCCCCCCCCACTGTGTACTGCTCGGGAACTGATCTTTGCATTCTTCCTCCCCCCTCATCAATGACTGTTTCCTTTGTCTGAAACTGATAGGGAGCATCAGTGTTCATATTCACACCAGCGGGAATCTTAAACTTTGAGGGCCTACCTACAGCTTTTACATGTTGATTTTTTCCTTTGACCTTCTCGTGCTTTTTTTATGTTGAACTCACGATGCAATCTCTTTCACAATCAGGACAAGCCGCCCATACTTCAGCATTGCACCTTTTGACCTCGCATGTTCCAGGATTGAATTCCGGATCGCCATCTGAGTCGTAGCCACACTGACATTTCATCACTGTCTACCTCACTAAGCATATCAGTGTCCTTGAAGCACATACGTGCATCTATTTGTCCCTTAAAGTTCTCAGTGGCGGAAGGACACCCATGACTTTCTGCAGTCTGTAAGCTTAAGACTTCACCAGGGTTCTGAATGTCAATCAGAGTTTGAACAGTAGGGCTACATGTCAAAGAAAGAGTGGTTTTTCAGAGCGGGATCCCATTTGTAAACAAAGGACGAGTAAAAAGGGACTTCTAGAATTGGAGTCTGAGCATTCACTGCCTCACATGAAGCACACTGCTCACGTGTGTAGTTTACCTTGTCTTCCCGCTCTCTAGAAGTGCTGCGTGATGTTTTTTTGCCAAAGGCTCAGCCCTGGCTGTGTGGCTTACGTTAGTATGTGCCGTATAATAAAAACACAACAATTGGTCAAAGTGTACGTCACGCACTAGCGTAACCAACAGTGTGTTAGTACGTGCTGTATCTTTTTGTGGGCAAGTGGGATACGTTCAAACTGGAATCGACTATATCTCAGCTATTTATTGCTCGATTCCTACCATCTTTTAAGAGGATGTAGTATCGGATAAAGAGAATCGCGTGATTGGTATAACTCGATTTCGGGTCAGATGTGGCTTACGTTAGTACGTGTTTAGAGGGACGAATTGCGGAAGACTGGAAGCCCTGACATAGAAATGTTATAATATGCTAGTAAAGATGCAGCATAATGTATGAGGAAATATTACATATGTGCGGCATCTTGGTGAAATCAAGCGCTCGTCAAAATACTGAAATTTTTATCGCATTTTTAAATTTTTGACTCAGCATGTTTTATTATGTTAAAAACACATTTCAGTGTAGATGTTACCGAAAAACATTTAATAAATCGACAGAAACTAAATTTTCCGTTTTCAAGGACTCTCAAGCTATGAAAGTCACCAAACTTTGGTAACCATTTTCTTGCTAATTTTACTTCTGAACCTGGTGACCCCCACCTCCTTAAATGGCAAATATCTCAACTTCAAATCAAGATTGAAGGATAGTTTTTTTTATATTTAAAGCAAGGCAAGTGAACAGGTTTTAAGATGATGCCAATAACTCCAAATGCCCAAAAATTGTGAGCGCCTGATTCCACAGTCTTGAAAAATTTTAATATATTCTGTATGGTAGCAATAAACTTCTTTTATAATTTTTTGAAGTGAAAAAGATGGTCCAAATTAACCACAAGGCACTCACAAGGTGAGAGGGTCTCTCCATTGACACCAATGCTACTGGCCTCTCTCAGCGTTGTGCACTGCACTCGGAACATGAGCACGTGTGAGCGGACCACATGGCCGTTCTTGAAGGCAAACACGTCCCCAGGGATGTCCAGGACTTGATCAGGGTAGGTTGCCGAGGACTTTGGATTCACGGGCACCCGCAGTTTGGCCAAACTGCTTGGCATGATGGGAAGAGAGGACTCCTGGACAAACAATAAGAAAATTGTCATATAACCGAGCTTCTATGATCTTCATTTGAGTAAACAGAAGAACATAGGGGAATTAGCAAGACAGGCAAAAAGAGGCAATAGAGGAAAACAAATGAGGCAGGGCTTACCAACCCCCAACCAGCCACATCTATGATCTGTACAAAAGAACATTAATCACCATTTAGCATCATGAAAAAGCAAGATGTTGTTGTTAGCGATCCAGTAGCATCTGAGCGTTAACTCTTCTGCATGATGCCATTCAGTAATAGCTGCATGTCTGTTCTAATTGTTGTCTTGAGGAGTAGAAGCAGTTAGATGTGTGGCGTAGCTTGGGAAGAAAACATCCCCTTAAATCAGTTAGTTTTCTTCAGAAGAACAGATGTTCCACTGTCTCTGAGGGTAGTCACATAGTGGGCAGGCAGCAGACTGCTTTACTCCAATTCGGTTGAGATGTTGGTTGAGGGGTACATGTTGTATTTTAAGTTGGAAGATTGATCTCCCCTCCTCAACTCATTGATAGGATCTTTGACCAGTGGTTTATTCATGTGGCCATACATCCTCCTTCCTGTCATACCTGTGGCCCAATCATTCATCCACTCTTCCTCTTGATCATTTGGCAGCAGGTGGTGTAATTCGTAGGAATATTTCAGGCTGAGGGAGGCTAGCTCCTTTCTTTGCCAGAGCATCAGCTCTTTCATTTCCCGGTATCCCAGTGTGGGCAGGAATCCATTGTAGGACAACTCTGACGTGGTGCCTACTTATCAAATTATATAGACTCCAAATCAAGTGCAATATGGCAGGTTTCACAATTTTATGCGCACTGAGGTGGTGAGATGTTTCAATGCCTATAAGTTTATGTTTTGTTGAAATAAACAATTTTTCAAACTGTGTTTGTGTTGTGTTTGCTTCAAAGAAACTAGAAAACCATTAGATTTGTTGATTTTTTTATTGTTCATTTTTCATGACTGATCTTAGGCTGTCTATCGTCACTTTTCAGAAGGACACCATTTCCCATTTTCTCGGTCTAGTCAGATAGCTCATCTGGATAAGGCCAAAAACTCATATTTCCACAAAAATGTTGTGTAGAATTTGGAAAATAGCCTTGAAAAGTTGTTACAACAGCAAATCTCAAGCCTACATGTCCTTAGACCTAGGCTAGGGATCGATAATAGGGCGGTATTTTTATCACACCTGTCCATCTGAATTAGGATGCTCCCAAAATGCCTTCTAAGCCTACCTTTCTATATGAAATCTGTAAAAAAACTTGCCCCCATGTGAAACTAACACTTATTCTGAGCGTGTAAGTCGAAAAAAGTTCGTTTTTTAGTCATAGGTTAATAATTTATGGGCCGATATATCTCACGTGACCGTGTCCGTCCGACAGAAAATGACGATCGACCGCGAACAAAGAAAGCTATTATCGATACCATGTGACGGAAAACTCAAATTCTTTCCTTGTTCCCGTAATCGCGGGGACGGATATTTTATATTCGCTGCTGGTCTGGACTTCTTGTGTGAACGGTTCGTCCGCAATCGGGTTTAGAATGTTGTCCATCCGATGGCGATCGACCTAATGACGATCGACAAGAATGCTAGTTTTGCGTAAATATTCCGCATTTTCTTATCAAGTCGGAGTTTCTGATACTGTTTCGTGTTTATTCATTCAACTTTGATATAAGACTAGATGAAAAAAAACAAGAATGGAGTAAATAAAGGGAATAGTAAATCATCCCGATCGAAAGAACATCGCAAATGCGCAATTTGAGTCGAACATTCTAGATTCGGATGGACATTCGCAGTCCATCGCGCTGATGGTAAAAAATGCACTGAAGTTTCGTGACGGATTCGGAAGGACGTGACATCGCATGGCGTCGGAAAGAATGTGTTTGCGCGTTTCAGTTTCGCGTGGGTTATCTATTGTTGATCTTAATGTAATTTCGCTACTTGAACAAAAAAAAAGCAATTTGATGATTTGAAAGGAGGAATATTGGAACTTTGACAGACTTTTGAGGCGAAAGCTAGATCTAGATCTAGGCTACATTATCAATATTCTTCTAGATCTAGATCATTTGTGGGTTATTTTTTTGGCACTTTTTACTATTTTTAACTAAAGCTTGGGGGGCAATTTCAGTCTCTTCTTTCTGTGTTGCTTAGTTAGGGTCTAGGCTACAGTAGGCCCTATACAATCTGTCTTGGTGGAGTTTGGACTTGGGGTTATAAAATTATTTACTTTTTTTTGGCAGGCCATACATATTATAGATTTCTTTTCTATATATTTTTCAATTTTAAAGCATTTGATACTAGATCTAAAATGAAGAGTTCACCTACATGTTAATTTCTACTCCTTGGCAGGTGAGATCATGTATAAGGCCAATGAAACAATGTTCACAGACTTTTTTTACCCCTTTGCAATTTAGGTGTATGCTAGAAAAGAAGTGTACATTGTACATCATTTGTCTACTCCTTTCATTTGCAGATGAGGTCCTTCTTGTTGAGGACTTTACCAAGAATAGAAAAAACAACTTACCTTTATGTAGTGAAGTCTGCCCACTTCTGTAAGAGGCAGATGACACTCTATCCAGTAGTCTCTCATTACAAAAATGACGACAACCGACTCATGACACACACAATGAATATATATATTCATACCAGACATCACCGATGATTTTAACATGGTTAATCACCTGACAGTAGGACTTGACAATGTGACAAAACTGAAAGACCCCCACTTTCAAACTCACATCTCTGCCAAACAAATAATGTGAGGCATCGTGGTGAAATCAGGCACTTGTCAAAATAGTGAAATCGAAGGAGCAGGCAATTTTCAGCTAGTGTTTGACAATTTTTATGAAAATTTTGTTTTTTGGTTCAACGCCTTTTATGCCCCTTCAATCGCAAATATTTTTACTTCTCCTCGAGATTAATGGGTATTGTTTTCATTTAAAGCAAGACAAAAATAATTAAGCTTTCAGATGGTACCAATAACCCCACGTGCCCAAAATTCGAAGGTCTGATCCGACCGCGTTGTGACACATTTATTTTTAATTAAGCCTTCCTGGGGATTTTATTGCTTTTGTGTTTCTTTTCTGTATTCAATAGCCAGTTCAGTGATGTGTGCTTTGTGGTTTTATTTGTATAAATAAGGAATTTACGAGTATTTCTGATAACCCCCCTGATATCACGAAAATCTCAAAATTACTCTACTTCTGAGGCAAAATAATGCACCTTTCCAAGGGTTAATGTACACAGTGTTCTCTTTTTTACCACACACTGTTACTTAATATTCATTTCCCATTGGTTTTCTGTGCTTATATGATGTATTTTTGGCAAAATAACCTTTCAAATTATATTTTTCCAATTTTCAGGGGAGGTAACCCAATAATTAAAAATTATTGTTTTGCCTCTAACTTGGCTATCTTTCTGTGAATTTTCATAAAAACCTGTACTTTAGTACATTTTAAACTACTTTTTCATAGTACAAAGAGCTCAGGAAAGTTTTGTGCTTAGTTTGACAATTATAGAATCTATACTTAATTTTTTAAATTTTAACTGCAGTGTTATGTAACAAATTGAGTAATCTGGGTATAAATCTTGGGTTTCCAGCTTTTTTTCTTCCTATGTAAGCTGTTTGGGTGTTCTTCGGTGGATTGTGAATATTTTTGTGTTATATTTGTGTAGTTTATGTGATTTACAGAGAGATTTCAGTAAGCTTCTTCATTTAGTGAGAATCAGGGGGAGTTAACTTTGAAGGTCTCTTACGCACACTGCGATGAGCTGACGCTCATAAAATATGCATTTCTAGTATCCTGAAATGTTAAGCTTTCAAACAGTATATCATATGTCATGTTTTATAACACTTCATATTTGGTCAATTTTGGGAAATGCTGAGCACCCAAATTGTGAAACCTGCCATATATCTTTGTTCACATCAGTCCCACTCTCAAGTGTCTCTAATGTTGAAAGGCTGTCTGTAAAGATAACGATGTCTGTGGTAGCAAGTGGGTTAGTGTCAAACAAGTAGTTGATGTAGTTTGCTGTGTTGGTGATAGCCTGTTGTTCGGCAATGAAATTGGAGCAGAAAGCCCCGCTGGAATCAAAGACTTCTTTTTTTATCCCACTGGGCAAGTTGATCACTGACCCATATCCAGCGTTGATTGCTGCCTTAAAAAGGCAAGATAAGAAACAATGAAAGGAAGTACAGATACAGCACTAAGTGGAAAATTCAGACCACAACAAATCATATTTTATTCTACGAACAAAGAAGGATTCCAAAGAGGTTTGAATTTCCCACAAGACATTACCTTAAGGGCCCACACCATTGCTGCTGCGAGAGAGAAAACCTTATGGTTTTTTTTACTCGTCCTATAAAGTGGAGTCAAAGTTTGACTCAAACATAAGATTTTTCTTGAGTCAACGATATTTTTTTTTAAATAACAGAAAAAGATTAACATTTTTTTAAAAAGAACTGGCGAATTCAACACATCTTATTTACAATACAGCATACATGAATTTGTTTTGCCTATTCGACGAAAGCAAATGAGAGGCATTAAACGTTTCAAACAGACATACGTGCAAGCTTTCTAGGCCTGGTAAGCCTTGTATGAAGAATGGAAATTTTGAACAAAGTGAGACTGAAAAGTAAAGCAACAAATAATATAACATCCCAATGACCCCTCTAGGCTCTACAGATCTGTTATCACCTGGGCATTTTTTTTCTCTTTGCATACAAAAAGCATGTTTTAAAACAATAGGCTAGCCTCAACTATACCCACATAAAGAAACGAGATCTGAATATAAAATACCTTTCTTTTTTTCTGGCATATTCTCAGAAGTAACACTTCTACATCAGCATACTCTGCCTCAGTGGCAACTGAAATAAAGATTTGCCAGTTGTACATATGAAGATACGCACAATGTGATAAATCATATCTATGATTCAGCCTTAAAAAATCATTACAAAAATTAGTTTACTTAGCCTTTAGAAGACTTCTTTTGTCATACTACAAATGATTCAGACAACTATATTTAATGAGAGCTAAAAAAAAACTGAACCATCTCTTGTAATAACATCCAAAGAAACATTACAGCCATTTTACAGTTTAAGTCAAAACACTCAAAAACTGAGGTAAAACTAAAGGATTTTAGTACCTGTGAGGAAAGATATCATACTAACAGGTGACCTTACATAGGCTACGTGTAGCCCTGATAAATACTTCCATTTATAGCCTAAACAAGACATCATGTGTATGTGTGTGCGAACATATGTGTGAATTATGCTTAATGTAGTTCAATAAGCACTCTGTACTAAATTACACCTGCCTTCAAAGTCCTTTTTGGGGGTTCTCGTGGTCGAGAGGTTAAGGTGTTCGCCTGTCATTCATAGGTCCCGAGTTCGGATCCAGCCAGTGACGGAAAATTTTCTTCTCTAAAATGTTCTCCTTTCACCTCCTTTCCTGCTCTCTAACAATGTCCTGTCATCTGTTTTCGTCTCCACTCTCTGTCCCCACCTCTTCACCTCCTTTTCCCCCCACCTCTGGGCTCCTGAGTCTTTCTGCAGCCTTTCTACTGCTACTCCTTGGCTCCTTCTTACTACTGTCTTTCAGCCACACCCCTGATCTTAGGGGATCTAACACCTAGCCTTCTCTGATAAGGGCAAAAAATCTTGAAGGTCCTGTGTGCAAGTTGCGTATGTTAAAGATTCCTTGATGCTCCAAAATCGATAAATTCGGCCGCCACCCAGGAAAAATTCAAAATTTCCCTACCAACTGAAAATGTTTTGTGTCCCACGCGCTTATATGACCGTACGCAGTTGCCAGCGCTGTAAAAACACTTACCAAAAGTCACTCTTTTGATTCTTTCCAGAGTGCTGAATTTTAGGTCCAAACCACATCTACACCTGCACATGCAAGGGACAAAATAAAACTTACATTCAGCAATGTGAAATCCTTCAAATGTCAGTTTCAGGGTCTCATGCTTCAACCTATAAGGAGAAAAACGAGGGCCACAGTATGAGATCATAATATTCTTGGCACCATGTGCAAGAGGGTCAGTTCCAGAAAAACATATTACAAGAGTCAAATTTCACTTTTCAGTCAAATTTTAGACACAAATAAATATGGCATTTCAATTATTAAGAACCTGGTCTAAAAAACAAAAGGACATATTATAAGCACACGGCAAAGTAAATTCTACACATTCATACATATATTATATAGTTCTGAGCGTACAGATACACGCCTGTTACATCTGACAATAACACCATAACTACAAGTTCTGACCTGCTTGTTCTGTTCCTAATTTCAGGTACCAGCCTACACCGAACCAATAGATAGGTAAAGGGAAGAGCTCATAGGCCCATCCTCCCAACCCCCACACATACACACAAGTTATTTTAATTCCATAATACTAATATTATAGAAGCACAATCCACTCAATGGTAACTACTTAAACGTGGAGCGTTTGTCTTTTAATTTTCCCCCTTCTGTATCTTTGTACAACTTGATTTTTAGCCAAAAATACATGAAACTGGTCCTGAATTTACCTGAAATGGGAGATTTGACGTAGGCAGTCCTAGATATATTTACTACTTTCATACAAAAGAGACCTTAGAAAAATCTAAAGGAATTTACGAGTTCAAATTTGATGTGCACTAATGCTAACTTACCTTTGCTTTGCAAACTGTTTGTCCAATTTTGACTCCACAGAACCCAGAATAGAATCAACCTTAAAAGTCTTCCTGCGAAACAAATGTTCATGAAACTTGCTTTTAGGTCAGTGAAACAAACATAAATAACTTATTCCAAACAGTATAGGACTTTGTACTCTTTACTATGCATTTTTTTTGCTAGATTTTGTCAAAAAGATTCCCTCAAAAGAAATCAAGACACAAGGCCAAAAAAAATACGGACACGGAGAAAAATGAAGTTAGAGGGGTTGCTGTGAGTGGTACTTGGTATGTTATTACATTGAGGTCACGTACAATTTGCATTATCAATGTATTTACACCAACTAAAAACTTTGCACACGGCAGCCGCGTCATTTTTCGCCCGACGTTTAGTTAGCGTGACTCAGCAGCCCGTCGGAGCTCCCCTGCTTGGGGTCACAGGGTTAATGAGCCCTGAAGCAACTTTGCCGGTGTCGGTTAGGAAGTTCCCATTTTTGACTATGTTTAAAATGATATAACTTCTTCCCCATCCCACATAGCAAACCATTACGCGGATATACTAAAAGCTCAATGTCTTGAGATTTATTCTGTGTTAGAATGGTTAATTTCTGTGCATTAGTTTTTGTTCTAGACAAGTGTTTGTAGAGTACCCAATTTGTCCTATTTTAGTTACAAACTTATGAATAAATGATTGTTAATTTTAAAAAGGCACGACAGATCTCTCCAAAATCTGTGTTAAACTGACTACGAATATCATGTCTTTTACCAAGAGAAATTTTTAATCTGCGCGAGTAGAAATAGTCAAGTTATAAGAGAAGAAAGATGTACATCTGCATTTTTAAACTAAAGACGATCAGTGTTAGTGTTAGCTCTTATTTTACTATTAAACAAGAGAAAGTTACTCTACGTTTGTTCATGAAACATGGCAGCCTGCATACAACTAAAAAGATATAATTATAATAGAATCTAAGCGATTAAAAAAACCACAAAACCGTGTAAATACATGGGTAGAGATTTACTTCTTGTATGGAATAAAAATAATGACAGGTAACACATTCATTCTTAGTTTTTGTGTCGGAAATATGCGCGGACACAATTATATATGAATGTAAAAAAATCAGTCACATTGTCAGTTATTGCAAATGGTCATAGAAACGAAAAATAAAGCTGGAAAAGTCTGGTGCTGATTCAGTGTCCCTGGAAAGCTAGAAATTATTCTTATAACCCAATTACGAGAAGTCATCCCTATTATTCAGTCAACTTACAACCCTAGACTTAGCGTTTTAAGAAAAGTAAGGAATTTCTGGAGTGTAACAGATGCTGTTCGTGTATTAGATCTACATTGAAGATGTATTCTAGCACTAAAATCGATTTGTACTTTTCATAGAGTAGAGAAACTTCATGGTGACTTCTAAAAACTTTCGAGAAAATATGCCAATATTCACGATTATATTAGACACATAAAGTTGTATTTGGAGGCTTTACTTCAAAGCGAATTGTGTGCCCGATGGATGAAGTTGCAAAATTTCAGCTTTCTATTATATGCGCAGATACCATCTTTTCTGAGTATCTGCACCAATGCTATGTCGTTCATGTTCCAAAAGTTCGACAAATTTTGACGAGGCCTTTTTTAAAATATTGATTTTTCTTCATTCACGCTAGTCAATAAAAATTACAATTTAGCATTGCTGACTCCAGCGCGTCTTACCGTCTAACTCTAACGAAATAACCAGACAAGTTACAACGTCCGTTCTTTTTTGAGTCTCAAGAGCAGAAATGCATGCTTTGGGTGCACTAAAAGAGAATTACCATAAATACAAGGATACACCTTAAATTGCATGTTGAAAAGTACCAAAAATTAAGTCAGCCCAGACAGAGCGGCGACAGGGAGCTGACCCCCCGCGACCCCGACGTGATAAGGCACCCGGCGGGGAACCTCCCGCGGCAACTAAAATTCCACTGCTGGTGCGCCGTGTGCAGTCTTGAGGTTTTGACTTAGGTGTGCATTACATAAGACAATGGGGCACGAGAGGTATGTATGTGCAGTACAGTATAATACTATTTCAATAGCATTTGCATTATAACTGTTACAATATTTAACAAAATTTCTTTGAGCCTAAAAGAATACGAACCAAGTTCAAGCCTTTTATACAACAGCAACAACAAAATTTCTCATTTCACTTTCATCTCTTTCTTTAACATTTTCATAAGCATCACTTCAGAAATATAACTTTTACTTTTTCTTGAGAGACGTCATAAAAGTTCTTAATCATTTCTCCTTCAGCTTTACTACTAAAGTTCCACATTTCAAATTCATTGTAATCACTGATTTATGAATTATAATTTAAGATAAGATAAGATATGATAATACTTTATTATCCCAGAGGGAAATTTTGGGGCTCTCGTGGCCTAGAGGTGTTGGCCTCTCATTCAAATGTCCCGGGTTCGAATCCGGGTAGTGACCGAAAGATTTTCTTCTCTAAATTTGTCTCCTTTCACCTCCTTTCCTGCTCTCTAGCAATGTTCTGTCGTCTGCTTTCGTCTCCTCTTTCTTCCCCCACTCCCTCATCTCCTTTGCCGCCCCTCCTCTGGGCTCCTGATTCTTTCTTCAGATTTTCTACTGCTACTCCTTGGCTTCTTCTTACTGCTGTCTTTCAGCCACACCCCTGATCTGGTAGGAAAGACCTACACCTCGCCTTCTCGGACAAGGGCGAAAAATCTCGGAGGGCCCATGTCAGGGCTGCCTACCTCAAAATTTCCATTTCAGGTAGATTCAGGGTTATTTTCAGGTAGTTTGGCCCAAAATCAGGTAGTACAAAGACAAAGAAGAAAAAAAAAAAGATGATTGTTGCCCCATCGAACGCGCTTGGTTTCGTGATATTGGGCAATTATATTTTGAAAACTTGTTTTGAGCATGCACGTGTGTGTGTGTGTGTGTGTGTGTGTGTGTGTGTGTGTGTGTGTGTGTGTGTGTGTGTGTGTGTGTGTGTGTGAGTGTGTGTGTATGTAAGTGCGTGAATGCTCAAGCGTGTGTATATATGTGGGGAGGGGGGGTGTTTGGGTGCGCACAAGTTAAGATTAACAGAGTGTAAGAAATGTGGAGAGTTTGTTTTTTGTTTCGTCTTTTTAAAGCATTTATATTATGTACTATCGTTCAAGGCACTTATCATTCAGTGTTGAATCTGGAATTGAGTGCAAGGTGACTGCCTAACTGACTTCAAAACCCCTAGCCCATACCAATAGAAACTACATTCAAACATATTTTCCGACACTAGCATAGGACACTGATGTCTTTTGTGACTTAAGTATCACAGACAATTTTAACTAGTTTTGCCCTAAAAATACAAAATGAATCCTGATCTGGGCCTGAGGAGAGGCAAAAAGAACATCAACTGCCAAAACCATCAAGTTTGGTTTCAGCAATCACCGATTTGAAAAAGCATGCAAGACAAAACTTAATATCAAAACCTTTATAGTTAAGCTCACGGCAAAGCAAAAAGCGACAACAGAAGAGAGCGTGTACTGAGAGCCGGAGCTGGAGGGACAGTGAGAGTGTGGGATGTAGTGATGCTGAAAACCTGGCAATCAGTGAATCACTGCATCATGGACTAAGTACTGATTTTTTTTCAAAATGCTAAATCACAGTACCAGTTTTTAATCAGCAACAAGCCATCCTGATGCATAGGCATCCAACATAGAGCTTTCCGATGGTTGAAAATGACATACATTTCCTCATCACTATTCAATTTGTCATCATTGACATATCCGACAAATCCGGGAACACCAACCTTGAAGATACAATCATCAAGCCTGTACTCTAATGTTCCCTCATTTACGCACTCGACTGTCGAATGTCAAAACCACTTCCACTTATCGTTTTTATTTTAGCATCAGTTTCTTGCACCGCGGCCTTATCTTGCTGCCGTAGATTTTATTTGTCAAACACCTCCCCTCAATTTCGAAGCCCTGCAGCAACGCTCCTACTTTGAATGAACTTCAATTACTCCAACAATGGCCGACCGGTCCCTTACTCATGCCGTACCCACACGATGCCAACGCGCGTTACTGTAGGTTCATTGACCGGTCACGATCACGGACCCGACAATCTAGAAATCGGAGGACGCTAGTTTTCTTTTTTGTCATTATAGTGACAGCAGTGAGAATATCAATTTAATTTGTATGGCGACACTATGTTTTTTGTGCACAAACTGCACGTTACATATTTTTATTAACGGTAACTGTAAATCTAACGTTGCGTCAAACTATCACCGGACAATAATCTGAGTGGTTACGAAAGCGAAAGTAGATTTTGATTTTCCCGATGGAGTCTCAGTATCGGTATTAAAACTTACACTTCTGCTTGCAGCCATAACCGCTTATTCGCGTGAAACGTACTCTCGGACTGGGGAACGCCGAACGTAATAAATGTATCACAAACGCGACCGGTAAAATATGAACTCAGTAGCCTTTTCAGTTTTGGTTTTGAATTAAACGGACAGATATTCCAGCCGCAGCAAAAACCCGAAGATAGACACAAAGAATGAATGGATGAAAGGAAGGAGGAAGATTATCTATCGTGAGTAGACAGATTTTAGCCGATATGCACATGAAAAATTATTGCAGACCGAACGGCACAGATAGACAATGGCCGAGTGTCCGAAATGCGCGATCTGGCAGTTTCTAATACAACTTATTGCTGAGAGTTGCCGTAAATTCTGACAAGTTACGGAGGCATCTCTCTCTCTCTCTCTCTCTCTCTCCCTCCCTCCCTCCCTCCCTCCCTCCCTCCCTCCCTCCCTCTCTCTCTCTCTCTCTCTCTCTCTCTTGGGGTTGATATGATGATGCGGCAAAAAGGAACTTTCGGAATGTACGGATTGACACAAAAAACAAAGAAGATTAGAAGCACTGCAGAACGGGGGTTTTTTTTCTTTTTCTTCTTTTGGTGCCCATCGAAAATCCGGTAGTTTTGACACCTTATCGGTATGGCGGTAGAACAGCCCCAAAATCGGTATCTACTGGAAAAATCGGTAGATTTAGACAGCCCTGCCATGTGCAAGTTGCGCACATTAAAGATCCCTTGGTGGTCTAAAATCGATAAGAGTAGGCTTCGGTCTCCACCCGGGCAAAATTAAAAATTTCCTACCAACTGAAAAAGTTTAATGTGTCCCGCGCGCTCATATGACCTTATGCAGTTTTTGCGAGCGCCATAAAACACTCACAAAAACACACCAAAAAAAACAGAGGGAAATTTTCTTGGCTGTACAGGACCGTAAAAACACATATGCAGGTATACATTAAAAAAATGTAATTATATATTACTCGCATTAAAATTCAATATGAAAAGAGAAATAAAGCTGACAAAAAAGTATGTACCACATCAGAAGCATCATTCAACCACATGCAGGAATTTAATTACAAGACCTTTGGAGTTATATAGATACATACCATAAAGAGCAATACACATCTATGCTTATTCTGACAATAGCCTTATGCTAGATGGTAGAAAACTTCTTTTATATCTTCCTTTCTTTGATTTTAGAGGTACCTATCTGCGCTGCGTGATCTGGCAATTTGTGTGGAAAGGGGTGTGATGGGTCGTTTTTAATGCTTTTTATCTTTTTTATATTTATGGTGTTATACATTTCATAAATTCTAGTAAAATCATATTCAGAGATCTTGCTGGCTTTCTTAATGGTTCTGTCAAAATTTTTCTTTATCTTTCACCCTACAATTCCCAGCCCAGCAGCAAATACAAAATAATAGCACCCTTTCAATCATAGAATGGTATAAAAGGGACAATATTCTTATCAAAACGGAAACTTCTTAATTTCCTTAAAAGGAACATTCTTTGATTTACTCTTTTATGCACAAGACCAGCGTAGGGATGCCAGTCAAGTTTGTTATCAACTGTTACACCAAGATACTTGTAAGAGTTTACCACCTCCACCTCCTCATCTTTAATAGTGGTTGCAATTGGGTTTTTTTTACTCTAGTCTTTTGTCTTTTTTACATTTAGTAAAAGGAAGTGGTTGTCATAATAATTTATGTAAATACATTTACAGGGTCCCTGTATTCATTCTTATTTGTTGTTATAAAAGTAAAAGGCCTTATTGCGCTTGTAGAGTGGAATCATCCGCAGACAATAACGAACACATTAACAATAGCACTACTTTCACACCAATTACTATGGAAGAATAATAACGCAAAAGAGAGGTATAAATTACCTTTTAGTATTGGGAACAGATCGTCTGTGTTTCATATATGAGAGAGTGCGTGGAAGAAATATAGGCTGAAAAGGAAAAACAAAATACGGCAGGGTCATGAATTTATGACAGAGCAGAAGACTGTCATTCAAAAACTGGTGATTACTACATGAAAACAAGAGACACCCATGTTCTTTATTCTCTACCAATGTACAAATGTATGTAGTGCAGGGACTTTTGTTCACTAAAATCCCTCGAAATGTGAACATTATACCGTAAGTAGGTGTAAAGCATGTATATTTTAGACGAAGCTTTCAAAGAGTAAAAACATCAAATGGGCCTCGGAGCTTCAGAAAGAGAATATTACATCCATGAGTACAAATTAAGCTGTGAACATTATACCTAGGTTTTAGTGTAGCACCAAATCAAATTCTCAGGGTAACATTAAGAAAATGCTTTTAAATAAAGACTTAACTTAATGGTAACACCTTATAATTTATTACTTTGAACAATAAACCTTCTCTACCGCCGGGTTCACAATACTTCATATTCACAAGCCAAATTACAAGCCATCCTTATTCCTAATCTCAAACTTTACACATAAAAGTAATCAAATCATCAAAGACATGGACGACCAACAAGGCATACAAAGGGAGAGCAACTCCTGATTGTGTAAACCAAGTTTACAAGCACGCTAAGCATAACATTCTACAGTAAAGAAAAGACTGCACAACTAAAGAAATACTAAAACCATAGCTAAAAATGGTGGAAAAAAAACTTTGAAACAGTTATTACCAGGACAATGCTCCTTGTTCTCAAATAACGGTAGATCTGTGTTGGCTCTGAAAAATAAATAAAAGACAAAATTCAGCATAAACAATTAACTTTCTCCCGTAAAATCATAAAAATATATTTTATAAACAAACTCAAATCTACAATCAGCACCATGGTTGGTGTATGATGAGGCTTTCCTTGCACAAATCTACAGGTGACAAACGTAAAAACAGCCTCTACTGCAGAATGTTAAGTTATTTAGTCACCAGTGCAGTTGGTTTACAATAAAGATGAACCAGTCAACAGCAGCCTCAGTTGGGCGTGGATCTTTGGCTTCAGTAGATATTTCGTAAGGACAAAACATCATCGTAATATTCTTTTCTTTCACGGCTATTGAGAAGTGATAGACATACGATCTACGTAATGAGTTGTTACAGGTCTTAGGGAACCAACCAAACAACTGGCACGCCTATTCAAAACTGTCCAATCAATCAGTACTAACCATAGGCCTTGCAGTGTATTTTTATCACAAACAATTTGACGTGAAGTGGCAAAAACTTGGTTTTTTACACAACATGCACCTCAGTAGTCCATTGTTTCTGTTAAAATTTCATTCAAAGTTATCGTAGAGCAGTTAATAAAATGCCATATGATGTATGGGTCATGTTCTACTCGAATCCTGTCAGGGCTCCCCTGAAAAGGCTTTTCAGGCCAACTTAGGAGGTTCCTTCACCCTTTGGTTTTTTATCTTAAGGGGTATTTAAAACCCTTGTTTTAGAAATTTAAAGGGTTGTTTTTTCTGTTTATATATATGTTTATATTATAATATAATGTCAGACAAACTAATCCTCTAAAGTCCTAATTTCAGAGTAAGAATTTTTGCATGTAAACATTTGACTCCCACGCACATTCACAGAGACACACACAAAGTGACCATGACTATGATTGAATGCTAACAATTTCTATCTAATTAACTGTACTGTAAGGTTTCAATATAATAAGAAATAAATGAGAAGATCTAATATTGACTAGAATTAGAGTTCTGTTGACTTGAAGGTGGGGAAGGGTGGTGGCCAATCAAAAATCAAATAAAGTTGAAAAACCAAAAGGGGTCAATTCCGACTATAATATACAAAGGAAATACTGATTCATTATTCTTCAGCCACCCCAGGGTTCACATTCCAGTCTTTCCAGACTTTCAATTCTTTTTTAAAATGGCGGACAATTCATGTTTACTAGTGTTAAAGAAGGATGGGGGCAGACCTGCCACTCTATGAAATCAAAAAATCAGGCAGGGGGATAAATTGGAAGTATGCCAGTTTGTCACAGACCCACCCCGTCTCGACTGTGCCCTGCATGATGGAAGTTATCCCTGACACTCTCAAAAAGAGTAAATGAACGAATGATTGATTGTATGAATTGAATTTTATTTTTCAATTGTTTTTAACAAAAGAACATTCATTGTTAGGCCAGGGCAAGATCGACGACAAAAAGACTCGAGGCCTCGATCCCAAAACTGAAAAAAGATCGAGGAATCGAGTCCGATTTTCGATTTTGGAAGCTGCTTCAAGTGGGCTGTTTAGAGGCCATGACTTGAACACTGCTAAAAATAGCTCTTAAGATCGAGACCTCGAGTCTTGAACACTGCTAAAAATAGCTCTTAAGATCGAGACCTCAAGTCTTGAACACTGCTA